AACAATCGGGCACATTTCATTTAAAAAAACTTGCTTGATTGATTGGACACATCAGTGCTTGTGTGTGTTGGCGCCATCTCAACGTCACATTCTAATTCATCACAAATGAAGTCTGACTAGGATGGTCGTCCACGGACAGCCTCCTCTCCGACCTTCTGATGTGCTTCAGCTGATTCGCACCCTTGAATGTGTGTTAACTTGCAGAGGATTGTGAGGATTTCATCCCCGGGTGATAAAATATAAACAATGTCCTCTGTGGAGTAACAGACACCGTATTTGTCGATCAATATTGATAAAGGATTAATTGAATTCAAGAGGATTGAAATGACTATAAGCTATTTAAGGCTGTGTCTTTCTGACGCTCTTCTTCCATTGAAAAAAAACCCTTCAGTCTCTATTTATAGATCACTTCGTCTTTCATTTCTCAGGATTTTCAATTATGCAGACTCTTTTAAGTGTACTAGCCGGTTTTACCATGGAGCCTTAGCTGCTTTCAGCAGACACTGCAGGCTTTATTTGAAATAAAGCTAAAAGTGCTAAATACAGGGCATAATTTGTCCTACAATTAACCCACAACTTGGAACGATCTTACTGGCTTTTCAATTAACACACTGTGTGTATTTGAGACATGTATTGAAGCTCATGTTTTTTTTTTAATTCTCCCATTCATGATGGAAAAGGAGTGGTTATATGAACACTAAAGGTCTTTGGCTAATTCGGCTGAATGATCAAATGTACACAACTGGGACGAAGACACATTACACCATCAGCACATACTCAACATCCTCCTTACACAGCTGATTATGAAACGATGAACTAAGATATGGATTGTGAAATGTGACGTCCGTGTTGTAAAAGATGTCCTCCTGAAATGAACCACAAAAGTCACACAGCCAAAGCGTGGTGAGTTGAGGACAGGACATCGATGTTTATCCAGTCAAACCGAAGGAAATAAGTGTCACATGTAAAAGACACAATGCTGTACAAACCGGCACAGATAATAGGAAATTGAAAAATATAATGTCAATACTTTTTGCATTTTCTCAGCACACGCAGCCTATATTAGGGAATACACTGGACAAGGAGAACAAACTCACGTTGATAAAGATCAATGTTCATTTAAATAGAAATGTTCAGACACATGCTGTCTTCAAATAGACATCTCATCCATCAAGGGCAACCAAAACCCTTGAAAACCTCCCCGCCATTATTACTATTCACACTATTCACTTTATAGCTCCTTTGGCTGCCAATATCCTAGGTGTTCATTTTACAGTTTGTTTTGTACTTTCATGTCAGAACCACCACTTGAGTTTGTCTGTCTACTCTACTTTATGTTCTGTATGCAGGGATCTCGATCTCACTCTCCTTACTCCCGTTAATAGCCACTAGAAAAACATTTAGCAAACAAATGAATCATACAAGAGTCCTCCTGCGAGGGGGAACGTTGCATCTCGATGGGCACTGTGTGCATTCGTGCCCGTGTTTGCTTGCTTTCTATTCTATTAATAGCAGACCTCCAGTGGATGAGCCCGTAACACATGTTATCAGTCAGCATGCCAGATTATGACCAATCAGGTTGTTTGTTTGCCACCTACGATCCCTCCCACACGCACGCACAAGCACGCACAGACATGGAAACGCCCTGTTCACCATCCTGTACATACAAGAGAGGAAGAACATTGTCACAACATCTGATCATCTGATCTGATCATCAACTGTAGCGCTGCACGTGGCATATTTCATCTAGTAAAATTACACACTTAGTCCTTAGTGTGTAATCAACTCCACTGCCTCCCTGCTCCTTTGACCCTTGAACATGCCCCCCCGTCCTCCCGTCCTCCCCCTGTCTGCATGCTGTATACATCTACACATATGGTCAAGCCTCCATCAGGGGGCCTGCTGAGGCCCCACTGAAGAGGCCTGGATGCATGTGACCTGCTGCCACGCATCAACAACACTGCCCCAGCAGTCTGTGTGCACACAAGTTGCGCAACAGTGTGCACGTGAGAAAATAAACTGCGTGTGAACTCACGATGGGGGGAGAGGCACTGAGGGCGGGGCACACGTGTTTGGCAACGCTGAACAGCTGACGGCGCGGCTTTGCAACACACACACACACACACACACACACGGCCCACAAAAAGACTACCGCCCTGTCATCGAGCGCTTACCACTTCCTCCCCCTCCCCCTATCTGCATGTATTACAGTACTACATGCTCCAGTTGACAGCTCATGCCGAGCCAGCACATTCCACATTATTACTACTTCAGATGTTTGTGGCCCAGAAGCGCGCCGATTGGCTGAGCTGCCTGGGAGAACCAATGAGGAGCCTGCTCTGGGGAGCTAAGAGGATAGTAAACTCAAAGGGGACTCCATCTGCTGGCCGATACTCACAATAACTGGGTTCGCCTGAACACAAACACACAAACAATTGTCGGTCAATGGATTTAAATGTATTATTCCCTTCACGGGGGAAGAGAGCGCCCAAAGGCCTTGAATGAATCTGTTAAAGTGGAGTGTTTTTCGATAAACATTCCTATGAAATACGTGACTACTGAGTCAGACGCAAAGTCCAGTAAAGTAGAATGTATATATGTGTGTGTTGGTAAGTTTAAACTTTATATGGTTTACTTTCAGTCAAAATGAAATGAGACGGATGCGATCAACATTGATACTGACACGTAAAATATCACGTTTCTTTCATTTTCACTTGGACTTATCATTGACTCCACCTGGTTAATTATCACACCAAGCTGACTCGTGACTCACGACAACCTTGAGTCTCTGAAATTAAAACACACTCTGAAAGGTTGTAAGACAAAATCGGGACATCACCATGGTAGCAACCTACCTCAGTTGCAACCTATTTTATATTTCTCTTTAATAAGACCATCCTTCATCAAATAAGCATTCTTCTGTATTGAAACTATTTGAGACAATGAACTCATTTCTTATCACAACATTTAATGAGCTCACATTTCAAGAGAGGAAGTAGTGTCATTTTTGTTGTAGACTTCTATGAAATCAGACTCCTACTGGCTATTGAATATAATGCCGGTTTAATGCACTTTGGCATTGCCGTCACTTTTCAGACCCTGAGGTTGCCGTCTGGGTCGAAAGCCTCATCTGCAGGTGTCTTTCACTGTCTGCCGTTGACAGAGCTTTGGTTCTTTGTGTGCGCATGTGTTTGCCTCTGCCTGCTGTGAGAGTGTGACGGAGAGCAAACAGAGAAAGCGGAGCTGCGCAGGGCATCGCTTGCATAATAACCGAGAGCTTCAGCGAGGCTGTATGAATTTTAATAGAGTTCTGCGGGGCATCCCATCGCCTCTGGTCCCACGGCTCAAAGATCAGAGAGAATTTTCAAGCATGGTGTCCCTCAGCCTCTCACACTCGCTCCCTCTCATTCCTCCCCCTTTTCTCCGCTTCCCATTTTCACTCTCCCTCTATTTTTTTTTTTCCAATCCTTTCCTCCCTCTCGGGCTCGTCTCTCTCATAATCCCTTTCTGCATCTCACACTTTTCTGTTGCTTTCTCTCCACTCGGTCTCCCTGTGAAATTTGTATTAGAGCCACTCGAGGCGTAATTATTGCTAAGCCGCTCTCAGTTCTCTGGCACAAAGAACAACTCATGACTCCCGGCACAAAAACTTGGTGCTGAAGGACAAAATGCTGCGATGAACTTTTAAAATCACGCACAATGGCTGACAAAATGTTCTCCTTTTGCCCCAAAGCCATTTCAGGAGTTTAATATTTTTATACTCTGCTAGCTCTGAATTTATGGACGATGTAACATTTATAATTCAGAAAGTGCATTTACATACGTTCTACCACACTGCGGTCACACCACACGTGTGGCTATTGCTGCAAAAACCCCGGATGATCCCAAAAGGCCCAACAGATCGGAAGGAATTCATGAAAAAAGGGAGACACCAAAGAACTGTGCACAAACAGCTCAAGGCAACACAAATAGGAAGACCGGAGCCGGTGGAAAAATAAAGAAGTCCTGAATGGTGGCTGTGATTTGTGTCTTTTGTATCGGGTTGCACGCACGTTGAAGTGAGAAAGTTGGCATGAGACTGTTAATAATTACTAATTCATAAGGATTAATGGTTGCTATTTAAAAACGTACCATTCTGGGGAGAGCTGAACGAACGCTGTGTCTTCCTACTGGGACCACGAGACAAAATATGCCCCCGGCTAAACTTACAAGAACACGGCTCATCAAAATTCAGCTCAACAGCACTTTGGAACTGGAAATAAATTCCCCCCCAAAATAGTGAAACTGAAGTTGTGCATTAGTTAACGTCAAGTAATTTGTCTCAGAATGACATAAAGTGCACTAAGTCCATAAGTCATTTAATCAAATACAAAAAGTGTATTGACTTGTGAGACGGTAAAACACTAATACCATAAAGTTTATGAGACCCAGGGCAACAATAAAGCTGATCAACAGGGCTCAACGGAAATAGATTTGAGGGTTTAAAAGTTTGAAAACGACCACAAGCTACAACATACACATACCTCACTACGAGCATGTGACGAGCACGTGACATGTAGTCAATAAAGCAACGCATCGGGAACAAGATGCATCGTTCTTTATCAGAGTAAATCCTCTCGCATGACCTGAAGTTGTTGTCGCTTCGTTAAAGAGTTCACTTTCAGGGGAAACCCAAAGACGGGAGGAGGAAAGCAAACGTCTGAGGATTAAAAAAGGAATGTGTGGTCAATGTGACGAATAGACAGGAAGGTACTGCAGAAACATGTCTGTGCAAGTCAGCCTGAGCCGTTTGCTGTTATAATATAATTCTTCGATAACGCAAACATCCAGTATGTGAGGTCTGTTTCCGTTCACGTGTGAGGATCTTTGTTGTTTAATATCGCCCTCGTGTGGCTACACGCGTTAGCAACAGGGGAAAACAGCTAAACGATGCAGCTTGTTAACATCTACATGGAATTGCACTTTTAAAACTAGCAATTTATCAATGTAAACATACAACATTTACATTTTTTTAAATCAAATTTTAATGAGATTGTCTTTCGAGAAATTTATATTCAAGACCATGAGAAAAATACAACCGCAGACGTAACACTTCACACTATAACCGCGATTATGTATCAGTGGCCATACCGTGGATTCAAGTAAACTTCAAACTTGAGTGCTAACATTATAACATGAGTTTTAAATAATGCATATTAAGTAGAAATCTGAGATGAGCAGTGCTATTGAATAGTGCAGTTGAGACAATCAGTGGTTCCGTTATGCAAAATCTTTGCTCTGAAAACATGAGCAAAGAATTCACAAACATCATTTCTTACATTTCAACCTCAGAAAAGTTTTCACACATTTAAAACAAACCAATACTTCATCAAAATATTTTTTTAAAAAGGCACAAAGAACTGGCATTATCTTTCTTCTGGCCGAGTGGTTAAGAATAATTGAAATGTAAAAGAATCATTAGAAAACCAAAACAGCTGATTCACATTTATCACCTGGAAGAAAAGAACAATTCATCCATTCATATGCTGCTTTTAGAACCTGATTTCTCCTTAATTTAAATCCTTATGAGTAGTACAACTGTGATTATAAAAATAAGAAAATTGTCAGATTGTTGAAACGGCCTGTGCTTTGTAAAAGATTAATAATTAAATCCTACACAGGGACAGTAAGCACCACAAAAATAAATTAGTAAATGAGACAGCATATAAAGATTCACATCATATGAGGCCTCGAGACAACTCGAAACAGGACCGCACCATTTTAGGCTGAACATATTTTTTACTTATCAAAAATCACAATACTTTAGAGGGTTTCCTGACAACATATTTGATGAATCAGTGATGAAAATAAAAACAAATCAAAGCAGGAATCTTTTGATGCCTAGAAACCAGGCCCCAAGCCCCTTTGCATCAAATTAAAAAGGCCAGTCCTCGTGATGAAATGGCCAGCGCATTGATTTGGTTGTTGGTAGAACTTAAAGACACTCGCCCCACATGGGCCCGTAGCGCCGTTTTCATTGACCTGTCAAATAAGGAGAGTCTGCTGCCGGAGGAGAGGAGGCCATCAGCCCCCTCGCCGCTGCACAACGATGGTCCCTGCCACAATGTCATACACAGTCCTGTTGTGCTGGAAGAAGAGGAGCGTGATGAAGACGGGAAAGAGGAAAGCAATGGAGAAGTTCTTATTAAGGGCCCGCACAGTAGAACTGTGAAAGGGAGGGGAAGAAAAGGAGACAAAAACAGTTTGAGGATCCGCACACCGATGTTCTGCAGGTAATAGAGAATATTAGATGCATTGGTTTGCACTCTGCAGTCTATACAAAAGTACATGGCCAGATCAGTCTCAATATTGATGAAATAATGAAGGAGTCATTAAGTATCTAGTGATTTTGTATAGACCTACAGAAATATATTTGAGCAATACAAAAAGAATTGGATATAAACGCAAAGAAATATGAGTCCTGTTTGCTTAGCCAGGTCATATTGAGGCAATAGTACTAAATCACTCACGCGGAGAGGGAGACTTTGGATGCTGGGACTACGAGGACTCTGTTCGGTCGGACCAGTGTGGATGTGTCACACGTCACCACCCGCAGGCCGAGCAGGAACTTCCCTGGTGTGGCGCCACCAGCGCCCCAAATGCAAATGGTCTGATTGGATAAGAGGGGGAAAAAAAAACAAAAAAAAGGGACAGTTCGCAATGCAATCTATTTTTCCTGATAAGAGAAACGCACGTGTTCGGTTACCCTTTGTGCTCATGAAAATGCACTGGAGAACACTTTAGCAGGTCGTATCAATAATACCGCACTGCTGGAGCAAATACATTTTCGGATTAGCACAAACAAGGTCAAGAGCTTAGATGGAGGGAACCCTGCCAGATGGCATTAGTCTGAGCCGAGGTGTCTCAATGTCCCACGGCTGGTTCCCACCGGGGGAAAACAAGCCGCTGATGTCGACGTCCAACCAGAGCAGTGCTACATGATTTCATCTCGGGCAACTGTGCACGCAACGTTGCATCACGGCCCTCCGTGGGAGCTAATGAGTCGTTGAGTGCCGTTAGATAACAAATAGATCAATGGGAAATTATTAACTATTATTACCATCTTAAAATAAAAATACCAAACCACAGCTAAATCAACATGAACTACACAGCTCACATGTGACCTGTCAATTGCTTAAATAGTGCGTAATAAATGCTAATGACTATCATTTTATTTAAACCAGTTTTAACGCTTTTACGTCATGTTCCACACGTTGTGTACTCATTACTCATTGTCCGCTCTGTGAACCGATGGGAGATTAAGGAGTCATCTAATGGGGATCCACTAAACGACCAAAGGACTTACCTCGTAGACGCAGACCAGCACCCTGTAGACCAGAGCCACGGCCATCATCTTCTGCAGGTCCTCCATGGACGTGTTCTCGTCGATCTCCTCCACAATGAAGTGGGTGATGAACTTGGCGATGTCTCTTCAAAAAAGGGAGGAGAGACCGTTTGTCAGAGCGGGTGCATACGTGGGTTGTGGAATAACCTCGGCCTTGAAGCAACGCTGCAAACTATTTGGTCTAGCAAGTTTGGTGTATTGCATAACTGACCCAAAGGAACACTAGTTTAGGGAATTTATTATTATTATTGATTTGTTTGTTTATCCCTTTAACCTATTTTCACTCACTTCATTCCACTCAGATGCATGACCCAAAGCACAATGGTGGCTTTCACACAAAACAGGATAAAGAAGTCCACGGTCTCAGCCAGGAACCTCTGCAGAGGAGAAGGGATGGTGTACTCCCGTCCTGTGTGGAGCAGAGGAAAAAGGACAAGCGCGTCTAACCTTGACTACCTATTACAGGTCAACACGGCATCAGTGTTTCCAAAGGGCATGAGCCTGCTTCCCATCAGACCCATCAACTAAAGCACACACATATCTGCGGGGGGAGGAGAAACCGGCTTTGGGGCGAGTCAGGCCCTTTAACTTCAACAGCGACCGCACAGACAGACGGATCCATACCGGCCCGAGGAGGATTCCCGTTCTGCAGCTGGGCCGACCGGGGGTCCGCGGCTGAGGTCTGCTCCGCTTGCGGGCCACCCGGGTGAGGGCGGGACGCGGGGAACCCGACGGGATACGGGTAACTGTACCGGTTCGGCGCGTCGAAAGCCTGCTGCCGCCCACTGCCGGGGGTCGCCGCAGGTGCACCCGGCACCCGGCCGCCTGCCCCCGGCGCAGGGAGGCCACACGCGGGGGCGAAGGGGAAGGCGGACAGGGCGAGCCAGCTCTGCCAGTTGGCGTAGCCGCAGTGATACTGCCACATCCACGCCTGCAACTTTGCGCAGTACTCCGTTGTTGCAGTTGTCTGCGGGGACTTTTCGTCGTCCTCGGGGCCATCGCGGCGGGTGTCTGTCGGTGCAGTCGAAAACATGTTCGACCCCTCTTTGCCGTCTCGCCTGATTTGACAGGAAAGTCTTTTTGTTAAGCCGTATTTACGCCGCCAGGTAAAATCTCCTTAGCTCAACTCATTAGCCACCAGCTGGATCCGAGCACGGCGGCGGCCAAGTGTGCTTGTAAGTTCAGGGAATTCCGGGGCGCGCAAAACCGGACGGTTCTTTCCCAGAGTTTGTTCCTTCTTGACTATTTCGGTTACTCAAATAACACATAGTGTGTAAAATCGACTTCCGTATCTACAAAGTTGATATCCGCCAAATACATGGCCGAAGCAGGGATGGCTGACAATAATATACCCCTTCTTTCAATAATGGTATGATCCATTTAAAGGAGCCCCTTGTGTGCGTGTGTGTTCCGGTTTGTTTTTAGTGTTCAGTAGCGGCTCCTCATCAGGCCCTAAATTCACTTTCTGACCAATGAATTGTAACAAAGGCGATGTATTGCAATGGTAAAAAATAACAGTAAAAATAAAGTATTATAATAAAATATAATGTATTAGTATCATTTTCAAGGAAGTGTGAGCAAAAGAGCTTTTGTTAACCTCATTACGCCTCATTACCTTGCGCGTGTCGTCTTTACGGAGTCTCACATTTCCGTTTTAATAGCCCGATACAGCCATTATTAAAACGAAGAAGGTTTACGAGAGAACGGATCAGATTGGAGAACTTTTGTCGGAAGTAATGCTTTCGTTCTTTATTTTTGACAGATTTGCAAAAATTTGCAAAAAACTGTTTTCACTTTGTCATTATGGGTTGTTGTGTGTATAATGTTGAGGAAAACAATGAATTTAATCCATTTTGGAATAAGGCTGTAACATAACAAAATGTGGAAAAAGTGAAGCACTGTGAATTCTTTCCGGATGCACTGTAACATTTACTGTCCAAATGAATAAATATATTTCAATTACTAATGTCTACATGTGTCATCAATAAGTGAATGAATGTAGTGAACAGTAAAATAAGTTGGTCTGTAAGTACAATCTAGTGATAACCAGTAGACAGCAGATTGGGGTAAACATTTCCGTTATTTGTTATTTGAGATGGATGAGGTAGGATGGAGTGGGAGGGGAAGGAAGGTGTTTTTACAGGTGTCCAGTCTCAGGCATGTTGACGTCCTGAATGGTCTCCTTTTTCTTCTCTTCTCTCTCCTATTTCTTTGTCTCCTTGTCCTGCATCTTGCGCCTCATTTTGTCCATCTCCGTCTGACGGTCTTGCATCCGTCTCCCAAAAATGCCTTTTTTTAAGTCGAGGCAGATGTTTTCAAAGACTGTTTTGTCGTCCTCTAATTCTTGGATCCTGGTGATAAGGATCTGATGTTCTTTTGGGCTGGTATCCTTCGTTTGTTGGATCTGAGAGATCAGGCACAACTCAGTGAAATCACTGTTTGTGACCATCTCGTGGTGGGTCTCCTCTTGGCTCTTTTTTAAAGAAGCCAGAGAATCCCTCTGGGTCTCCAGCAGTTTGTGTTCTTCTTCCAAATGCTACCAGTTTTTTTTTTTTTTTTTTTAATGGGGCAAAATGGGGGGGGCGATTTGCGTTTTTTTTTAATGGGGGGGTCGATTTTCTTCTTTTTTTTTTCCTCAATGGGGTAAAGTGAAATCCTAACAAGCCAAAGTGCAGACCAGTTGCGAGTTAGGTTTTAAAGCAGCCAGAGAATCCCTCTGGGATTTTTTGGCTGCTTTTGGGGGGGGGGGGGGGGTTCAGATTTTTTAAATTTTTTTAGGGTAGATAGGACTGTTTTGTCGTCCTCAGGTGCCCTCTCCACAAACTGGTTTTCTGCGCGCAGGCAGCCGTTGCTGCGCTCTCTCACCTCTTCACTCTGCGCTCGCTCGACGTTTCACTCACACGCTCGCTCGACTTGCAGCAGCGTTACATTTGTGCCACAAAACCAACCAATCACAGAATTAAAGAAGGTCAATTGTGATTGGTTGTTGGTCTTGTTGTGTTCAAAAATGAAGAAACGCCGGACGGACCGAGGTCACCGCTGATCAAAAGGTTAAAATCAAATGTATTTAATAAAAGAGATGATGTTGTGGTAAAAAGAACATCTCAGCTGAGGAGCCGCTGGTCTCAGCAACCAACAGGCCCCAGGTCAGTCCTTTGACCCCCCATAGTGCCCGTCTGTCGCCTCCACCAGCGAACTCCAGAACAAAGGTTCCTACAGGTATTTATAACAATGCTTAAAGGTGTGAAAGTCAGTGTCCACACCTCTGGGAGTGGTCTTCTGGTGAGTTCAATGTAACTCGGATTTCGAATGACCCTTAGTCAATGTCAGTTGTGCAAGTATTACATGCATGCATTCCAGTTGATTACATTACATCAAATACAATCATAACTGCATTGGTATTATTCTATTATAGTTGCAGAATTACAGTGGTTTTACAACATTGTCATTACTTTATTGATTACACAGTTTCAGAATCATGGCTGTATTCTGGTGTACACTATATGCATTTTTATTAATTTTATAAACCGGATCGTCAATTTGTTTCTATTATCCTACAGTCTCCAATCACAACGCTTCCTAAAGAAGACGAAAACAAGTGATATTAGAAGTCCGGCTAGCCACCATCTGACATGACCGAAGCAAATGATGAGAACAGCAAGTGTTTTAATCCAGGCCATTAGCATTTAGCACAAATGCTGCAAACTTCAACAACTCGCTGAGCTTCCGCGATGCTGTAGGTAGTTCTACTAGCGTTGTGATTGGAGACCAATCACAATTGACCTTCTTTAATTCTCTGATTGGTTGGTTTTGTGGCACAAATGTAACGCTGCTGCAAGTCGAGCGAGCGCAGAGTGAAGAGGTGGCGCGAGCGCAGCAACGGCTGCCTGCGCGCAGAAAACCAGTTTGTGGAGAGGGCACCTGAGTAAACTGCGCGCACGGAATATGTTTTTCTTTGCTAAAATATAGTTCTCTGTGCTCAAAACTTAAAATCACGAGCTCAGGATTGTGGCACAAATATAACGCCATAAACTTTTAGAAGCATGAATTGAAACGAGTGCGTCGACGCAACGACACAGACGCAAACGCAGAAGCATGCGCCGGCCTTAAGTCATAAGTCCAACAACACAACTTTTAAGGGGCACCACAAGAGGGCAGCAGAGGCCATCTCATACAAAATCAAACGCTCAAATACAACCATCGCTGCTTGTAGTACTATTCTTAATGATAATGCATACGTTTAATATTATTAAATATATCACATGACGCAATGGTAGAGAATCATGTGCACCGATGTGACACACTTTCTTTTTGTCGTGCGGGAACATAACATATTTTTTAATGCATATAGAATTTCTGAGGTTTGACTAGCAGCAGCCACATTTGTGAACATCAAATATCTGACTTGATTGACAAGGTAGTAGTCTGCCACAGAGGCCATTGGTGGGGGGGGGGGGGGGGTAAAGGTTAAACGCTCACATACTTTTTGTTCAAAAAACTGCTTGCCAATCAGCTGATGAAAAGCCACGTTAGCTCCGCTGCCCTTTCTCTCTCTCAGACACACGCCCACCCACACACACCCATACACACACACACACACACACACACACACACACACACACACGCGCACGCACACATGCACACATATAAACTCACACACACTGTCCCTCTTTTGTCTATGTGTCCGTTGTCCCCTGTGCAGATGCTGCTCACGCATGTCTCCCGGTCTCTCCACCTCACCTCCACGTCTCACTTCCCCCTTACCTCTTTCTCTGTCTAACCGTCTCTCTCACCCCTCCTCTCCCTCCTGATTGATGATTGACATGATTTCTAGGGGTGAGGGGCCTTATTTGCTGACTGGCCTGACCAGGCTCTGTGGGTTAGGTGTTAGGTCTGCCAGTTCTAAATGATTGTGCCTGGCCCAGTGAATGGAGCCAGTGAGGCGGACGCAAATCCAACCCCAATGAAGGTTATCCCTGTCGACAGAGGCCATGCGATGACTGTGTCCAAATGTAATCAGGCCCAAATAAAAGCTACGTCCGGCAAACGCTGACCCCCATAGAACCCAACAACCTGGTGGGATTACCGCTGTGGAGGTGTGTGTGTGTGTGTGTGTGCGTGTGTGTGTGTGTGTGTGTGTGTGAGACTGAGTGTGTAGTGCGGGTAAGTGACTCAGAATGTTTACTCAGGTATGGCAGCATAGTTTTAGATTAACAGATTTTGTGAGGTTACTTTTTTTAGACATTTACTTCTTCAAATCTGATTGGATCAGGAGCTCTTAAGAATATGAGGGTTTTATGGAAATACCGTATTGTTACACGTTGTACCACCTCAGAGAAAAGTAACTTTTTTTCCTTTCCAGACAAATGATGATGGCAGCAATACAACAAATGCTGAGTTGAATTGGTTCAACCTACAAATCTGTTGTTACCTTTTAAAAAAAAACATTCTTACCATTGTCACAATGTAATAAATACGAGTTTGCAACAAGTAAAAGCAAGAGTATGCAACTCTTAAAGGGTATCTTTTTCACCAATTGGGCACACTGCCACATACATGTACCTCACACTGTGTACCTGGGGGCTGAAATGGTAACTAATCTAATCTTTACTTGAGTCAAAAAGGGTAAGCAGTGACATTGCTCTGGGGGAAGAGGTGTCCTTTTTTGCAATGTTTCAAAACCATATTTGCCCTACTGGGACACTTTTGTGCTTCGTTTTATCCTGCACAGGTGGGACACATGCTCCGCTGGCAGGGTCACAGTTACTGTAGAGGTGCACTCATGTCAAGATTAGTGATGGGATATTTGCGTACATTCTCTTTAATGTCACATGGACAATGTTTCTTTCTGCCATGGCTGCAGCCTGGTTGCTTTGCCGATGCACACTGGTAGAGAATGCATGAAAGATAGACCCCGTCATTCAGTTTATTTGATCTTTGGCCAGTGTCCATTACAAAGTCTGTGCACATCACTGACTGGGAGATAAGCACAGTTCACACTGTTCATACAATTCTTGCAAAAAAAAGGTTGCTGTGTCTGAGCTGGATGGCTGCCATGCTCCCAGACATACAGTTTCTGAGCAAGGACACTAAGTCCTTGCTCAGAAACGCACTTGAGGAGAGTTCATGAAGTGAACAATTCTTTTGCTTCTTATAAGGGTTGCAGTAGATGCGCACTAGTACATGTAAACCATTTTTACCAATAAAGGGATTCAATCAAGTGTGCTTATCTTTTGCCAATGGAATCGTTTTCCATTTAAAGAAGGTTTTGCTTGCCAGGCAATGAATCTGAGGACCAATACCAAAACGTGTGTGTGTGTGTGTGTGTGTGTGCGCGTGTGTGCGTGTGTGCGTGTGTGTGTGTGTGTGTGTGT